CATAGGAGTTTTTAGATCTGAGACAGTTTTCTTATACTGAAAAGCACTTCGATAATCACCTGCCACATGAACATATTACCTTTGAACAGAAGCTTTCTAAGAAGAAAAAAAGGACCATTCAAAGGAGTATAGCTCATTTCAGTGAAATTTGGCGACTAATTTGCCTCCGGATTTTATAGAAGATGAAACAAAGGGCGCGACGACGCGCTTTTACAAATTGTTTTCAAAATCTCTCAATAGTTGGGCGACTCTCAATGCCTGCGACCTTGGATAATCCGAAGGTCCAGGAGAAGTCAACGATAGGTTTAGGCAGCGTTCAGACTTCCCAACGGCAGCCTTCGGTTGCGCGATTGACGCAATGGAAAGCATGCACGATTGATAGCGTCGAACGCGCGACCGAAGCGCTGCCGCCGCGAAGTCTGAACGCTGCTTTAGACTGAGTGAATCGGACAGGGAAGGAACAGAGAAACAGCAGAATCCTACTACACATGAATCCGCCACTTTTTCTGTTGGTGGGTTCAAGTGGTAAAGGGGTGGGATGCTAACATTAAACAGGAGATTACTGACAGCTGATAAGGCTGATAAGAGGCACTGGAAGGGGAGCATCACTGAAGTCATACATAGCGCGGGTCGCAGCAACAGTGAGAACGTGGTTCCAGGAAGTGATACAAGTAGTGATACGGGATCACTGTTGATGGGTGACATGCAGTGATATGATGGATGACAAGGGCTGATAAACGACACCCTTTGCTTTCTTACAGAATGAACGAGAAAGGTGGAATACATATCGATTCGATCGAACTACAGTGTTTGCTTTTTTAGAAAATCAGACATCCAAATACTGCTGATCAATCCGTATCACAGCATTTTTGCATCTTCGAGACCATGGACTAGATGAAACACCTTGGTGGACCCTGATGAAATATGAGCGCCGAAAACCTAGAAAAAACCTCCTCAATTATAATAAGTGAACTTATTGCTTGGTGAGCCAACGCAAGCCCAGTTTGGGATTTCGAAGACTGTATGTTCGTGACGGGGGGGAATTCCGCTACTATACAAGCAAACATTGCCACCACCTGATGTACGGCTTTCGCTACTGTACAAGCAACATGCCAACCCTTGTAGGGAATACCTGTCAACTTGTAAAGCAATGATCACGGCAGTGGGATGAAGCGGAAGTACAATGTGTCCCCCCCCCCTCCTTCGCCGAACTGCGCCTGAAGACTATTCAGAAAATGAACGTCAAATAACCTATGTGAACGTTAAGAAGTCCAAAAGTTAACTCCTGGCAAATTTGACGCAAGAAATGGCCAAAACGTGCGGTCCCAAGGAGAACTAGGAACTTTGGCGTTGGAGCGCGCCGATCGGATTGAAGCGCGTTTTGTGTCTCCCAATTTGTGCGCAGTGCCCGAGGCGCATATTCATAAATGGAGTTTAACTCTTGGATATTCTTCACCTCGAAAGTGAACTAGTCATTTCGATTATAGAAGAGATCTTTCTTTGCCGCATAGCTCTTGGCTCTCTTGTTGGCTTCCTAAAATGGGAATTCACAGGGGACAGTTTGTCTGAAGGATATATTATTGAAAAACGACGTTATTCAGCTAGCGGTCCCTTTATTATGGTTTCTGAACTCAAATGATACTTGAGAGGTCTGGTTCCTAATAAACTCTGCTGCTGCCTGCTGTCATTTAATCTCATTCATTTTCCTTCGATTCTGCAAGGTGAAATAACTTTTAAGTATCGCAGTTAAAATTGCAGCCGAAAAAAATAGTGATCCGATCACGGAACTATAGTTTCACATCGTCAACGATGCTCCTGTAAATGGCGACCAAGTGAAGGTATTGGTCTGTCGCGTGAGTCGCTCTGCTCCAGCTCTTTTCGGATAGCTTGAGCCGGAACATCCACAATAGTTTTTGGAACGCCGTGGGATGTTTATTTTCACTTACATGGCCTATTTTCTCCGAGAAACTCGGTACTCAAAAATTTCTGATTCAAAGCCAGTAATGCTGCTACTGCTTCTTTCCAGACCTACTTTAGTTCAAACG